CCATCGCATCGCCTTGGCATGCTCTTTGTTTTGGAACAAACGTTTCAACCGTGGTATTATAGGAGCATACCACATCACCTTGGCAGGAATCTTCTTCCTGGGGCGCTCGCCCTCGACATCACCAGGGTCATCGCGGCTGATCTTATAGCGCAATGCACCGCATACCGGGCACGCGTTCAAATCCTCGTACTCACCGCGGTAGAGGATGTAGTCATTAGGGTATGCATGTATCTTCTGCACCTCTAACCCTAGAGGGCAGACATCCTTCTTTGCTTCGTACGTACTCTCAGGCAATCAGTTGTCCTTTGGAAGCATATTCTTTATCATTACCAGCAACTTTCCAAATCCCTTGTTAGATACACCATTCTCTGCCTTCCATTGCAGCAATTCCGGTGTGGTGCCCAGCTTTTTCTTGTCACCTTCGCAATTCGGGTACAACAATTTCTTGTGATCCTCTAACATGCGCTGCAACTTCTTCTTCTCCTTTTCGTTTGTGCGGTTTCTCTTTGCATCGGCAATGGCCCGACCTTGATCATCAGCGGACTCATCTGATGCCTCTTCTTCAGCTTCTTCCCGCATGGCCGGCTCAGCTTCTTCCCCCATTGTTGTATCATCGTATTCAGGAAACCCATGGCCAGGACAGCTATCGCCGTCCTCTGCTTCTTCATTGTCTTCCATCATAACCCCTCTTTCTCCGTGCTTGGTCCAAACATTATAGTGGGGCATGAAACCGGACTCAAACAGGTGGACGTGAATGGTTCTTGAGTTAGAGTAATTGTGATCATTCTTACAACCAACACATGGACAAGACATAAAACCATCCGCCCGCTTGTTTTCCTAAGCCGCAATCAGAAAAGTATGCACGCCATCAACGGACTGGGGAGAGCATCGGTCATCGTACATCCATTGCCGGCGCATCTTCATTACACACCACCGAATAGACGAAATTAATACAAGTTCATACATAAAGTTCATACAACACTTAAATGCAACATACAAATAACTCTATAGCTAAAGCATTTAAATGCAACAACAAATGCGATCAAGATCGTAACTAAAGTAACAATTGATCCAACAACATAATAATACCAAGCCACACTATCAATGGCATATTTTCTAATCTTTCTAATCTTCAACCGCATTTTCTCCATCTTGATCTTATGATCATCGATGACATCGGCAACATGCAACTCCAATTCCATCTTCTCCCCCTTAATTCTTTTCAATTTTTCTTTCAATTACTCGTTTTCTCTTTCAACTAAATTTAACTCTCGACAATAGCATCGGTTGGAATTTCCGGTTCACATACCTCCTAGATAAAAATATCTATGTCAACTTGATGGGCACAATTTGTCATAAATACGAAATGCAACAAATAGTTTAAAAAAAGAATATACCACATCCGAATCATAACACGGACGAGGGCCGACGGGGACGGATATCAAAACCATGACACTATGTATAACAAACATGTACGGGTAAGATAATTATACAAGTAACTATATATCTAAATCACACAAACATGATATTTTTTTATATAAAAAAGATAAGAACAAGAGGCTCACCACAAGGTGGTGCCGGCGGCGGGTCGGTGCGGATGATCGACGATGGTTACGACGGAGACGGGAAGGCACTAAGTAAACCACACCTACATATGCAAACTAAGAGTTATTTTAAGCTCAAATTGCATATAAATCAAATAAACGACCACATATAATTCCTCCCAAATTACTAAAACCCACAAATTAATCACTATATAAAGCATTGCAAGAGTTAATCTAGCAATGAGAGATGAAAGGACAAAGTTGCTAACCTTTGTGATCACTTGAATGGATGGGGGCCTTCAAATCTTGACAAAATTTGGGCAAAATGTGTGATGAGCTCGAGGGTAAGAGAGGAAGAACAGAGAGGAGGAGAGGGGAAAGGGGGGAGAACAGATCGAGCTGGACGAAGGGTGTATATGTAGGATGACCTATAGTACCGGTTCGTGGTAAGAACCGGTACTAAAGGTGCTGGACGGGCCCCAGTCTGACAACATCCTGCCACCACTCTCTTTAGTACCGGTTCGTGGGACGAACCGGTGCTAAAGGTTCCGCACGAACCGGTACTAAAGAGAGCGGCCCACCTAGCCGTTGGAACCGGCACTAATGTTCACATTAGTGTTGGCTCAATTTCAAACCGGGACTAATGAGCTGCACATTAGAC